ACCCCTCCTTGGGTTTCCGAGGCAGTAACACTACGGAAGTAGGATTGCCCAACCTTCCTTCCGAGGAGTGGCTGGTGGATTTGAACCGCCAGCCTTCTGGTTAGCAGTCAAGTGACTTAGCCACTATGCTACCAGAGCTCCCATTCATTAGAGAAATGCAATTCAAACAACAAGCTTCATCTCATCCCAGCAATAATAGCAAAGTTCAACAAGACCAAAAACAACAAATGATGGCAGGGGTGTGGAGATTGGAACTCTCAAACACTGTTGGTGGGACTATAAAATGGTATGACCACTGTGGAAAACAGTATGGCACTTTCTTTAAAAAGTCAGAAATAGAAATACCATTTGATCCAGCAATCCCACTACTAGGTATATATTCTAAAGTGAGAACCAGGACATGAACAGGTAAGTGCATACCCATGTTCATCGCACCACTATTCACAATAGCAGCAAGATGAAAACAACCTAAGTACTCATCAAAAGACTGATGGATAACCAAACTATTTTTGTGTACCTGCACACAAAAGACTACTACACAACATTAAAGAATAATGAAGAGCTCGTGAAACACCTCATAACATGGATGAATCTGGAGGACACTACGCTGAGTGAAGTAAGGCAATAAAATAGGGATAAATATTATATGAGTCCCCTATTATAGAAAGCCAAGGAAAGGTTTGCACATGGAAGGAAGCTTTGTTGGTTACCAGGAATGGGAGAGGAGGGGAGGGAAAATTGTTAGCTAGGTAAGAGGCACTTATTGATTTGGTTGAAGGGAAAGGCACCAAAAGCAGGTGACTAGCACAGTTATCACTAAGGAAAAGGAAGACATGGAAAGGTGCACAAGAGGTACACACAACACAGGTAAATACGATTACATACATAATACTGCATTATCAGTAATAACAAAGATTAATCTACAGGTGACACATAGACAGGCAAGATCAGGTATGGGCAGGTGAATGGAAATATACCCATGGCCATATACAGGTTGGCAGATGATACTTTTACATACATATTTGTATGTCTTATAAAAAGGTCCATATATATAAAAAGAGTGAACAGGGGGTAGCTATATAGCTTCTTAGCCACAACCAAACACCTTGAGGGAGTGAGCTGCTGGGCCTGAGGGCTCAGGGCCATGGTCACAGGAGACATAAAGCTCACAAAAAAACACCGCTCTATATTCTACTTTGGTGAGTATAGCAACTAGGGTCTTAAAAGCTTATGAGCGGCCATCTACGATGCAAATATTGGTGTCTCCTCATCCAAACAAAGAAGAATGAAAAAAATGAAATCTGTCCAAGGGACTAGTGGGCCACAGAAACCGCAGCCTGTGTGACACTGAGACGAGAAGTAGATGGTATCCGGCCACCACCGCCAACCACTCTGAAAGGATAAAACTTGGAGATCCTGTATAGAGTGGGAGAAAAATGTGGACCAAAACTCAAAATCATTTAAAACAAACAAACAAACAAACAAACAAAAAGACCAACTTGCTAGTCTAATAGGGATTGGTGAAACGCCTGAGACTATGGCCCCTAGTCACCCTTCAGGCCTGGAGCTTCACTCACTCCGGTGGCTTAAACCTTCAGCCACACAAAAGGCAGGCCTAAGAGGTGAACAGTCACACCAGGGAGGTGCACTCCTTCAAACAATCAACCATGGGAAATAAGAAGGGCAACATTTGCACAGTGAGAAAGCTTGAAGGCAGGAATGCATAGGAAAGAAGGATACAAGGAAAAGGTAACCACAGGGAAGAAGTGGGAAGAGAGCTGTTACATTGTGCGGATTGTAATCAATGTCATGAGATAAAAAGTGTATGAACTGTTAAATGGAAAACGAATTTGCTCTGTAAACTTTCACCCAAGTCACAATAAAAAGTTGGGAGAAAAAAAAATGCAGCCCTTCCAATCTTGCCACACTACCTTGTCTAGCTAAAAGGATAAACCTCACAAAACAAACAAGATGGAAAGGACCAAGTCCTGTGAACCATCTCCAGGCTGATTATGAGATTGTTCCACAGACCACTGGTACAGTAGCTGGTACAGGCCTCTGGGTGGCATCTGAGCTGAAACAAAATGCAAAGATGGAAGGTATTGCTATGACATGTCCTAATAAGCAAAGAGGAGAGGAAGATAAAAGAGCTCTACTCCAAGGGACTTGCTTAGGGGTTGGGGAGAGGACAAAATATAAACATGCTAGGGCCACAGAACCTTTAGAAGTATTTCTGCACATAACAGTTCACAGAGAAGCCAAACTGGATGAAAGACGACCCCAACTCAATCTCACCATCTCTCAGCTCAAGACCTTCGTTTAAAAAAAAAAGTCATCCACAGGCTTAAAAAAAGAAAAAGCTCATGTGTAAGACTCATCTCACTACTATGATCACAACTTTATTCCCAATGTAAGCTTCTATTGTTTGTATCCATAACACCTTTCACTATTAAAAAAAAAAAAAGGAGCAAAAAAATTACAAGGTTAAGATACCCAAAAAGTGTGCTGCCGGTCCACACATCAAGCCTACATTCTATAATCTTTCAGGCTCTGTTATCAGTACTCTACACATCACAGCTGAGAAAGACTCATCACTACATCACGATAGCCATTCACTGAAGTGGCTCTAGAACATTTGGAGAGGAGCATGTAAGTATCCATGAACCAATGACCAGGACTTTGCTATCCAATCACCGTTTACGATGATGAGGGTTCCCAAAGGCACACAGGTGAGAGCAGCAGTGCCGCCATTACAGAGGGGGTGCGTGTACTGCAGCTTGTACACACCCCCCGACTTCCACTTCTCTGGCATGGATGCCGCTTTGGCTTCTGTCCCCTGGCAAATGAAAGGAAAGGAAAACAGTGAAGAAAGGTCTTACTCTCTAAAAGATTAACAATTCAATAGGCCCCTAAACTGGTTTGGAAATAAGCGTTCCGTACAGTTACCTTAGTAATATGTCAAAACATTAATAGTGTTATTAACGGAGGGTAATATAATCACCAGCCACTCCTCGGAAGGAAGGTTGGGCAATCCTACTTCCGTAGTGATACTGCCTCGGAAACCCAAGGAGGGGTCGCTATGAGTCGGGGCCGACTCGACGGCACACAACAACAATATAATCTTAACATTTTTCTATCAAAATTTTTGTTCAAGAGATAAAATAACATCATGAAATAGGGACTAATTTCTCTTTTTAAAGACTGTATTTTCTGCCGAGCAAAGCCATAGTCATTATTCAAGATCCTAGCTCAAACAGCACTTCCTTTGTGAAGCCCTTTAAAAAAAAAAACTCATTTGTCATTCCATCTTTCATCCCTTAACAGTCTGCTCAAGTTTCCATTGTTACATACTTCCCTTACATTACTTATCACAACATATTATAATTATCTTTTTATTTGTCTCTCTCCCCTCTTATGGACTCCCTGGGGCCAAGGACTATTCTAACATCTTCAGGCACCAATTTCTGGCTCAATGCATGCCCGCTGCAGGGATTCAATGTGTACAGAGTAAACCACTCCCCATCTCTGTTACTCATAGCATGGCCCACGGATCAGCAGCACTGGTATCCTGGGGGAACCTGTAGAACCTCGGGCTCCACCCCAGACTTAGGAAATCCGAATCTGCATTTTTAAAAAGATCCCCAGATGAAAGAAGGAAGGTAAGCAATGACAGCATGAGAGCAATGTCCCTCTTTCTAACCGAACAATTCCCTTAGTAACATGTCAAAACATTAATAGTGCTGTTAGCGGAAGATAATATAGTCTAATATGGAGCCATTGACACACAAAATAAAGCAGTGAGCCAGCTGTCTGCCCAATTCACACCCATTAAGCACATCTTGTCAACATCATCTTTCATCTTTCTTAACATAGCTGTCATCACCTTTATAACACTAACTAAAAACTGGCAAAGGGAATCATGAAGAAAAAAAGGGAAGGGGGCATTTACTGAGCGCCTACATTTGCCTGTCACTGTGTTAGACACTTTACATTCCCCGCCCAACCACATTTAATCAAAACACCTAGGACACCCAACACCCTAATGCAATTTATCCACATACCCCCTTTCACAATGGGAAAGTCACTCTAATGTGTTTGCTTTTTGTTTGTTGAACTTACCTGAGGTATGTAGCCTGACTCCAACATGAGAAGATGGATCAATACAATCAAGGCATCATTGGCATTGGAACAGTCAGCTGCATGATACAGGGTCTCTAATGAATGGGGCACCTGTCCCTCAACTGTCTCACTGCAGAGCATCGGTTCTGAGGGACAGAAGCCTGTGCCCTCCTCCATGTCCACGGCATCTTGTACTGACTCCGCTTCAACGTCCTCACTAGGCTCTGGCTGAGAAGGAGAAGGAAAACAAAGGATTCATTAAGCAGATGTCTCTTTTTATACAGTGTATTTTATATCCTAAGTGAACTGTGATGAGTGCTCTAAGCCACAGCACATCATCAGGCTCCTAAATAAACGAGTCTGCCATCTGCTCCTCCCTCCGTCCTGCACTCCTTAGCTCTTGAATCCAGTTAACTGAAGGTGCCAAAAACCCGGGAATCATCCAAGACTGCTCACCCTACTAAACTCCACCCCAAACTCCTAAGTCTTCCAAGTTCTATCAAATCTCTCTACTAAGCAGCTCTAGATCCTGCCTCCTCCCCTCCACTGGCATGGCCTTGCTTCAGATTTGATCACTGATCCCCTCCCTGCAAGCATCCCCGCCTCCACTTTCTCGTCTTCATGTACAGCCCACCCACAGCTGCCAGGGTTGCTGACAATGAAGAATCCAATCACATCCTTTGTCCCTGTTTAAGACCCACTAGTACTTTCCCAGGCAGACAGCAGTGTTTCCCTAAATTGTGCCCTGGAATGTGGCCCTAGATGGTCTTAGGAAAAAAAGAGTTCATAACCAAGTAAGTTTGGAAAATGCTATACACTACAGCCAGCTAACCTCATCTTCCATATTTGCAAAATATATATATATATTTTTAAAAGTACATATTTAGCTAATAAATACTACTTTTCTTCCTCAGTGCTCAGCACCCTGTAACACTTACTTACAATCTCATGAAACAAGGTTTTCATAGTGAACACTGAGAAATGAAGGCCTACAAAATAAAGTCCAAACCCCTGAACTCCTCGGCACACAAGGCCCTGCATGACCTGATCTCTGAATCTCCGTCAAGTACACCTTCTGCCAGACCCTCCTCACTCCAGTATTCCTCCCCTCTTCAACAGAGGTCACTCATCCTAACACTCTGCCATGCAAAGGCCTGTATCATCGCATTTTATCACAATCCGTTGCTATTTTCAAGGAGCCCTGGTGGCACAGTGGTTAAGAGCTTAGCTGCTAACCAAAAGGTCAGTGGTTTGAACCCACCAGACTGCTCCATAAGAGAAAGATGTGGCAGTCAGCTTTCATAAAGATTACAGCCTCGGGAACCACACAGGGCAGTTCTACTCTGTCTTATACGGTCACTGTTGTTGTTGTTGTTGTTGTTATTTGCCATTGAGTCGACCCCGACTCATAGCAACCCCTCCTTGGGTTTCCAAGGCAGTATCACTACAGAAGTAGGAATGCCCAACCTTCCTTCCGAGGAGTGGCTGGTGGGTTTGAACCGCCAGCCTTCTGGTTAGCAGTCAAGTGCCTTAGGCACTATGCTACCAGAGCTCCTCTACAGTCACTATGACTCAGGAATTGACTCAATGGTGACGGGGTACAGGGTATTGCAATTTTCTGATTACACATCTGCATCCCACCCTGACCACAAGCTTAGAAAGTGTAAGACTCCATGTAACCCATGTTTGTACCTGGCATATAACAGCTACTCAATAAATGCCTGTTGAACAAACATTGAGAGGTGGTATCTAACCAATTTCATAACGTTTTTATTTCCAAAGTATTTTCTCATTTGTTCCTTACAATAATCCTCTGAAACAACCAAGACAAATGATGCCCCCTTTGTACAAAGGATATAACTGAGAGTCTGAAAAGATGAAATAACGTAACCAAGGTTACCAGCTAACAAAAATCTGAAATGAACCCAGGTCTTCAGACTCAGGGCTCTGATGGCATAGTGCCTAAGGCATCTGACTGGTAACCAGAAGGCTGGCGGTTCAAATCCACCAGCCACTCCTCAGAAGGAAGACTGGGCAATCTACTTCCATCGTGATACCGCCTCAGAAGCCCAAGGAGGGGTCGCTGTGAGTTGGATCCAACTCCACGGCAGTGCGTCTTATGCTGCAGATAGAGAGCACTGCACTAAGAAAGACTTAAGGCCTAGCTAAATTATCAAGTGCACAGGCTCTTACTTCTTTAACTATTAGGCCTAACTCTGTGCAGTTAACTATCTAATGGTAGCTGTGTGGGAGAGAATATTTGTGGCAAAACTTTACAAAATGGTGAGCATCATCTCTCTGAAGAGATCGTTTTGTAAATAACTGAAACAAGTGACGAAAATGCCACTTAGAGCTATTGTTAGGTCTGATACTATGTTAACCATATTCTCATTAAAGATTCAACAAATACAACTAATAGGAAACTTAATTTATACTTAATCATGAAAGTAAAATTTTCCCCTTGTTTCAAGTTTTATCCATCTATTTTCCTTCTCCAATGTTCCACTCTACATTTAATTAGCTGACCCTACTATTTCAAGTATATAGTATCTTATTTTTGAGATTTCAAGCTGTTTCCACACTAAGATTTTCCAGCACCTATACAAGTCTTAGGAGCTCTAGTGGCATAGTGCCTAAAGCATCTATCTGACTGCTAACCAGAAGGTTGGTGGTTCAAACCCACCAGCCACTCCTCGGAAGGAAGGTTGGGCAATCTACTTTCGCAGTGATACTACCACGGAAACCCAAGGAGGGGTTGCTATGAGTCAGATCCAACTCAACAGCAGTGTGGTTTTTTTTTTTTCTTTTTAATACAAGTCTTGACAACACTGAAGTTGTCGAAGATTTCATGTCACTTGGTTCCTCAATCAACACCAATGGAAGTCACAATCAAGATATCAAACGACATATTGCACTGGGAAAATCTGCTGCAAAAGACCTCTTTAAATGCTGAAGAGTAAAGATGTTTCTTGGAAGACTAAGGTGCACCTGACCCAAGCCATGGTATTTTCAATAGCCTCACATGCATGTGAGAGCTGGACAATGAATAAAGAAGACTGCAGAAGAGTTGATACTTCTGTTGGCAAAGAATACTGAAAGTACCATGGACTGCCAAAAGAACTAACAAATCTGTCCTGGACGAAGTGCAGCTGGAATGCTCCTTGGAAGTGAGAATGGCCAGACTTCACCTGACCTACTTTGGTCATGTTATCAGAAGGGACCATTCCCTGGAGAAGAATATCATGCTTGGTAACGTAGAGGGTCAACCAAAAAGAGGAAGGCCCTCAATGAGATAGACTGACACAGTGGCTGCAATGACAAGCTCAGGTATACCAAGGATTGTGAGGCTGGCACAGGACCAGGCAGTGTTTCATTCTGTTGTACACAGGGTCACTATGAGTGAGAGCTGACTCGACGGCACCTAACAACAACATACAAGTCTTAGTGTACAAACCATGCTTTTAAGAAAGGAAATGACTAACTTGAAGCACCATTAATTTCTCAAAAGTCTGCAAAAGGAAACTAGTAAAGTAACTCACATATACTCTGAAAAGTGCCATTTTATTGGACAATTTTAACAGTACACAGAAGGAAAGAGAATGAGCCCCTCTACTAGAAATCACCTATCAATGAATTTATCATTTAAACAGATTCAGAAATATAACTTAAAGAGTCTTACTCGTGCCCAGATTATCTCTACGAGACAGAAACATACACACATAATCACTTCTTTTAAAAATAGGTAAATACAGAAATACTTTGAGTCCTATAAAAGTTTTCCAACTGGCTTAAACCTCTCTGGATATTATTACTACAATTAAATCCATGTATCTGGATATAGGTGATTTTTCACAATTTACCAATCTGTCAAAAAGTATGTTTAATACCTGTCTATGCTTAATACCTTCATAGGCACCATGAATATTTATATTCATAAATATTTAAGGTCCACAAAAATTTAAGTTGAGGTGATAAGTATATACACACAAAACAATTAACAAGATGGCTTATGTATTAGCATTATAAAATTAAGTCACAAAAGCGATCATATACCTAATTAAAAGGCAGGATAATAAATACTAGTGAGGTGCTTACAAGGCAATAAAGGTAATCAATACAAAATAATTAAAGAAAATTATGGGGCTACGGCTGGCAAGGGCCTTGGAAGACAGGGAGAAGTACAGATCGGAGAGGGAGGAAAGATAGTGAATCCCAGGCTGGGGGACAGCAAAGGCAAAGGCTTAAAAGCAGTCAGTAGGCTGGGTATGCACATGTGCATGTGAGCACAGGGCTGAGGGTGATGGAGGGAAAATGATAAGGAGTCTGGTCTAACTGGAGACGACAGTTACAGGAGGGAAGAGCAAAAGATAACAGAAGAGACTGGGTGGAGCAAGTTTTCAGAAAGCCTTGAAAACTAAGGAGCTCTGGTGGTGCAGTGCCTAAGGCATCTGACTGCTAACCAGAAAGCTGACGGTTCAAACCCACGAGCCGCTCCTCTGAAGGAAGATGGGCTTTGAAAACTAGGCAGAGGCTGAGAGACGTTTTTCTCCTCTATAAAATGAAAGGGCTGAGCTAAAGATACTATGCCTTTTTCAATTCAAAAGTTATAAGCATGGGAATATCTATGAGATAAAGTTACTAAAGAACAAGAGAACAACATAATCAAAAAAAAAAAAAAAAATGTAGGAAGATCAGCCTAGAAAGTAGGCTGGAGAACAGACACTGGAAGCCTAGAAAGAAAAGGAAAAACTGACCTGGCTGCTTCATGGGCTGAATATGAGGAAAGAGTCAAAAATCACTCCCAGGTTTAGAGCTCAGGAAAACAGCAGAGCCACTGGCAGACAGAGCAGGATGGCTGGCTTGAGAAGACGAGAACATCAACCTATCTATTTCCAAATATATGTTGGACACAGAGAGTTTCAGGTGACAATAAAGCAAAACAACAGAAGCCAGCTATAAATGTCCTGCAATCCATTTGGAAATAACTGGACTACATATACCCTTAATGGGAGCTCTGGTGGTGCAGTGGTTAAAACACCCATCTGCTAACCAAAAGATCACTGGTTGCCACTCCCGGGAAGAAAGATGTGGCAATCTGCTTCTGTAAAGATTTATAACCTTGGAAAACCTATGGGGCAATTCCACTCTGTCCTACAGTCTTCCAGTGTCTGCTGCTATGAGTCCAATTCGACTTGAAGGCAGTGGGTTTTGGTTTGATACAACCTTAATAAGGTCTCTGAGTGATGCAAACAGTAAAGCACTTGGCTACTAATATACACCTTGGCTGGGTGCCAACCCACCTAGAAGAAAGGCCTAGCAGTTTGCTTCTGTAAAGACCACAGCCAAGAAAATCCTATATAGCACAGTTCTACTCTGTAACACAAGGAGTCGCCATGAGTCTGAATCAACTTGCCAACAACAGGTTTGGAACAGACCAAAGAAGCAAAGGTGGGAATCATGTGCTTGAGGCACCAACAGAAGCCAAGGGATGATTTATCTGAAGGACTGAGTGTCAGAACAAAATAAATGGGCAAAAACCAGGGACTCCAAAATTGCTAAGGCATTTGTGGGAGAGGTGGAGGGGATGTCCTAATGATTATAATATATAATCTACAGACAATTATCCTGACTATACAGAATTCAATGCAGGTGGTGTGGTATGATTTATCAACCACCCTATTTCGTGTCTTGGTCTTTAATACCCACCATTGTGTCATCATTCCCGACATCAGATTCGGCTGCCTGTCCTTGCAAGGAATCACTTGGTTGTCCGCCTTGTATGCTGGGCTGGTTGGAGCTGGTGGCCAAAGAGGGTTGGTCATTATGCTGGAGTGAGGAAGGCTCTGAATCTGTGGATGAAGGTAAGTTAGGTGCTGGAATGGCATCTTCAAGAATCAAACATATCAAGTCCCCAGAAACAATCCCATAGGAAGCCAAGGTCTCTTCATCTCCAGTGAGGGCATCCTTGTTGTTCAATGTAATTGCAAACCGGGTGTCAGAACTGCCAAGAAAGATGGATAAGGATAGTAAGAGCTACCTGTCACCATTACCTCAACGATACATTTGGAATGCATTTAAGGTATGTATGGCCCTAGAAGAACTAAGCAACAAAATAAAACAAGAGGTAAAAGTTTTGAGAAAAGTATCAAAAGTAATTGTTAAGATCAAACACCTAGCTCATAGATTTCTAATGACTAAAACTCTAGCCCAGGGAATAGGGTATATATTTTCTATCATTAATTCATGTTTCAATCAATTTTAAGATACATACTTTTTTACATTTTAATATCTTGGAAATTGGAATACTTATGAAAATCCATGACATGGCACTTTAACTGCCAGCATTTTCCTCTCCTAAGTGTTTCATAAAACTGTGTGCCTTATGATTGATGGCAACTTAGATCCAAGGAAATAGGGTCTTTTTAGAGTATAACTCATTCCATGTAATTTCTCTGCCTAAAACTCCCAATGGCCTCTAACTGAACTTGGAATAGAATCTAACATGGCCTCTTCACAGCCCCTTACGATCTGCTGCCTACCCACTTCCACCTCGTCTTGTGCATCCATCCTGTCACTCTTTATTCCCTACTCACACAGCAGCGCAACCTCCTTGCAGCCTCTGGACCTTTGCACATGCTCCTCCAGATCATGAAATGACTGGCTTCTTCTCACCATTAAGGTGTCAGTTCAAGTGTCCCTGCTTCAGGGATGCCTTCCACTCTGCCTCTATCACCCTCTATCCCATCCTGTTTTATTTTATTGTAATATCACTATTTGAAAATACCACATTCATCTGTGCATTGCCTGTCTTGTCTATCCTACCACTAAAACGTGAATTTCATAAGATCAGGATCTTCTATTTCAAGTTCAACACAGTATCTCCAGCATCTGGCAAATTAAAAGATAAAGTCCTCTGAAAATCTTCTTTCTTACAATGTATATTCTTTCTTATAATGCTGCATTTTTAAAAGTGCTCAAAATAATTCACTTTTCTTTCATCTGTACATACATTTTCTTACCAATCAAAAAGTCTTTGGTAGAGGAATTACTGGAATAGAAACTACTCCTGCTTCTTAGAAAACAAGTGGCTCGGCTTGTTTTCAAAACGTTTTGATAAAATGTTGAAAATCTTCCAGCTGCCCATAAAAACACCATCTCAACTGTGGCGGAAAAAAGAAGTGCATCTCAAGTGAACTCTATGCGTTACCGATGATTAGTCACAGAAAAAGCCTATTCTGTAACAGTATCTAGTACAATGTGGATGTGTGCTCCAGTATCTGTTTGTAGAAAAGGTAAACCACTGTTTCATAAAAATGTCAGCCTCTCCTCACCCTGTAAAAAAAGTCAAGAGCCATTTCTAAAATAATAAGTCATTTTCTAGGAGGAAGGTTTAAAACGGTTCTGTTTTCAGAACTTCAATTTCAACTTCATCAGAAAATGAAACTCTAAAAACTCCAGGTTTGTTCAAAGTATTTTTTTTTTTATGACAATCCCAAATCTACTTGCTCAGTAAAGACACTAAAAAATAACAATGTCATGGGCACCCATTTTTAAATTGCCCATTTACTATAAAATGAACATATTGTCAAAAGAATGACTTTACTTTCATAAACCGCAGCTTAAATTCCTTCCTGTCAATCAGCCTCAGCTGTGAAAATGAACCTGAAAGAGAAACTAATTCAAGCTCTTGGCAAACAAGAGTTATTATGGGTTTCACGTGCTTTCAAGAGCTGGTAGCGTAGTGCCTATGGCATTTGACTGCTAACCAGAAGGCTAGCGGTTCAACTCCACCAGCCACTCCTCGGAAGGAAGATGGGGCAATGTACTTCCATAGTGATACTGCCTTGGAAACCCAACGAGGGGTCACTATGAGTCAGGTCTGACTTGACAGCACATAACAACAACAATTAATAAACAATACTAATATATATATATACATTTATATGAAAACCCCTTGAAAAAGAAGTTAATTTTGAAAATTAATGATGAGGTAATGATGGCAATAAGCAAAACGCTTAGGCGTGTCACTTAAAACAATACTTAAAAGGAGTTATGTTGATTCCTTATTTTTAAAAAATTGGAGGAAAATAAGCTTACTTTTAATCTTCCTTTTGATCTTTTTTAACTTTAAGAAAGGAAAGAGGCAGAAGATCATAGCATGGCCTCGCTTTACTGAGCACCCTAAAAATAAACTGGAAACTTCTAAAACTTTTATAAATGGAACCACTTCAATTAACAAGGTTCTCTCTTGAATGCCCCTAAAAAGCCCCCAGAGAACTTCTTTATTTCGTCTTAGCTCAAATTCCAAGTTCACCAGCTCGATATTTGAAAATAATCAGCCTAATTTTGTCCCCTAAACCCTGGTGACTGTCCCCAGAAAATACCTTCTATGGAGACAACACAGCGTGAGCAGCAGCCCCATGAATTATTAACAGAATTGGATCCATTACCTCTCAACTTCACTGTCCTAAAACTGCAAGTTCGGTCACTATAAGGCCCAAAAGTTTTAACAAAACACAAACATCTTGCCTGGGAAAAAATGACATGAAACATTTTCACACGTTGTACTTCATATAACTTTACAGCGGGCTAAGTCAAATTGTCACCACGAAACCCGGCACTGACATTCAACTTGTCTTTACATTTCTGCAGCTTTAACAGCAGCGGTACAAGGTACAGGTGGCTTCGGATGGAGGGCAGGTTTGTAACTTCTACTACTTTCCAAACTTTTTCACAACTACTCGAACAGATGCAGAAAGTGAACTTAAACCCCTGGGTTCTAGAAAGGTTTAACCCAATCCAAGCTCATTATTTCCAAATTTTAATTTAAAAATCCTGCGACTCGTGCGTTCTCTCCTCTCGATGGTCTCAGATCTCAGTCCGTTACTTACCCTGGAGGAGATCGGATCCTCCGGGAGGCTGGGCCATTTCTCGCTACAGCCCAGACTCCGGCAAAAACAACCCTAGCGTTTCGCTCACTACCCGACGCGCCACCCGGGCACTGGCTCCGAGCCCGCGCGAGTCACAGTTCCAGGAGCGCTTCCGAACAGCGACGCCACCGAAGCGCCGAGCGTTCACGTGACAGCCCTGGGGCGTCCCCGCCCCCCAGCAGAGCTCTAAGTGTTGCTAGCGCCAGCAGGTCGCACAGGCGACCCCAAAACTCACGGCGCTTACACACGGAAACCCAGGGTCCCAAGAGCGCAGTCGCACGCAAACACCCGAGTTACACCATCACTTCTACCACGGTACACCCCTCGCTCCGCGGCCGAGGCTCACCCTCGGCCGCCCCCGCATACCTGTACCCCCAGGTGGGCAACAGGACCTGGCCCAGATGCGCGCGCAGCTGCCCCAGAGTCGGCTCCGTTTCCAGCATCTCCAGAGGCCAGGTCCGCTTCTGAAGCCTGACCCTTAGCTTCATGGCGGCGGCGGGCGTGTGCCTAGGGGCCTGGAGCTAGCGGCGGCGACAGTGACTATGGCAGGCCCGAGCAGCTCCCGCCTCAAGTGAAGACCCCGGGGCGGTAACTATCGGTGCCGCCACGATGGCCGCCCAGCCTGCTACTCTGAGGAATCTGGGCGTTCCGCCCCTCCTATAAGGGCGCCCCCTAGACCCAGCGGGCGGCTGGTGGCCAGAGCCGAGCCCAGACACTAGGGGACTTCCGATCGATGACTCGGCGCACGACGGAGCTACCTGGGAGGGAGCGCGCGGTTTCCGGGCTGCCGGGTAACCTAGGTCCAAGCTGGCGATGCGCAGGCGCCGATCGTTGCGGTACATTAGTGTGTCCAGCCTTTTCTGCTGTTGTTGCTTTTCTCCTTCCAGATGTCCCTGGGAGAACGTTATTGCTGAAAGGGATGCTGCGGACCATTCACCACTCCCCGCGGCTCATGTGGACCTAGTTCTTACCCCATTTCCTTTGTGACAAACTCTGGTTTCTTCTTCAACTCCCAGTTCTAGGATGGATATTATCATATTGCTGACAGCAATGTACTTCAGGCTAGATCTTGAAATGTTCTTTTTTATCCCTGTACATACTGTTCAACTCACTACGGTGGCATCGGCTCGGACTCATAGCGACCCCTCCTTGGGTTTCCAAGGCGGTATCACTAAGAAAGTAGATTGCCCAGTCTTCCTTCTGAGGAGTGGCTGGTGGGTTTGAACCGACAGTCTTCTGGTTAGCAGTCAAATGCCTTAGACACTATGCTACTAGAGCTCCCTGTACATATTATACCATAAATAAATATTTTTTTATGTAAGTAGCAATTTATAGTGCAAGTAATAAGTGCAACAGCAGGAATTTGTGCAAATTATGAAGTGATATTTAATTTGCATTTCAAAGTATAACTAGGAATTTTCCAAGTTTAACAAAAATAAGATCAGGCAATAGAAAGAACAGTGTATACAAATATGGGGAAAGGTCATATTCAGAAAGCTGTAAGAAGTTCAATATGATGAACTATGATGAACATAGCTTCCTTGCAAGCATAGGATAATATTCATATACCTAACAAAAAAAAAAACAGTAAATTGATCATTCAAATTTATGCACTAACCACAGGAGCAGAAGATAAAGAAATTTGAAGATTTTTACTTTTCCAGTCTGAAATTGACCAAACATCAATCTATGCATTGGTAATTGCTGGTGATTAGAATGTGAAAGTTGGAAACAAGAAACACTGGTAGTTGGAAAATATGGCCATGGTGAGAGAAATGACACTGGAGATTGTGTGATAGAATTTTGCAAGACCAACCACCTATTCATTGCAAATACCTTTTCTCAACAATAAACAGCAACTTTCACATGGACCTTACCCGATGGAATACACAGGAATCAAATCAATATCTGTGGAAAGAGGCAATAGAGAACCTCAATATCATTAGTCAGAACAAAGCCAGGGGCCAACTGTAAAACAGACCATCAACTGCTCTTATACAAGTTTAAGTTGAAGCTGAAGAAAGTTAAAACAAGCCCACAAGAACAAAAATAGGACCTTGAATATATCCCACCTGGATTTAGAGACCATCTCAAGAATAGATTTGATGCTTTGAACACTAATGACTTGACCAGTAAAGTTGTCAGATGACACCAAAGACATCATACATGAAGAAAGTACAAGGTAATTAAAAAGAGAGAAAAGTCCAAAATGGATGTCAGAAGAAGCTCTGAAACTTGCATGTTAATGGAGAGTGGCTAAAGCAAAAGGAAGAGATAAGTAAAAGAGCTGAAGAGAAGATGTCAAAGAATGGCTGGAGAAGACAACGTAAAGTATTGAAATGTGCAAACACCTGGAATTAGGAAACCAAAAGGGAAGAACATGCTCGGCATTTCTCAAGATGAAAAAACTGGAAAAAAATTCAAGCTTTGAATTGCAATATTGAAGGATTCTATGGGCAAGATATTGAACCAGGCAGGAAGCATCAAAATAAGATGGAAAGAATACACAGAGTAACTATATCAAAAAGAATTGGTCAGTGTTCATCCATTTCAGGAGGGAGTATATGATTAAGAATTGATGGTATTGAAGAAAAGTCCAAGCTGCGCTGAAGGCATTGATGAAAAACAGGGCTCCATGAATTGATGGAATACCCATTGAGATGTTTCAACAAACAGATGCAGCTCTGGAAGCCCTCACTCATTCATGCCAAGACATTTGGAAGACAGCTACCTGGCCAACCAAATGGAAGAGAATCCTATTTGAGCCCATTCCAAAGAAACATGATCCAACAGAATGTGGATATTGAGCAATATCATTAATATCATACAGAAGTAAAACTTTGCTGAAAATAATTCAAAAATAGTTGTAGCAGTACATCAACAGGGAACTGCCAGAACTCAAGTTGGTTTTAGAAGAGGCTGTGGAATGAGGTATATCCTCATTTGCTGATGACAGATAGATCTTGGCTGAAAGTAAAGAATACTAGAAAGATGTTTACCTGTGTTTTGACTATGCATAGTCCCACTCCTCGGAAGGAAGGTTGGGCAATCTACTTCTGTAATAATACCACCTCAGAAACCCAAGGAGGGGTCGCTGTGAGTCGGATCCAAAATGATGGCAGTGAGGTTTTTTTATTTGTTTGTTTTATGTTTTTTGTTTATGTGGATCATAACAAATTAGAGATAACAGTGCAAAGACAGGGAATTCCTAGACACTTAACTGTGCTCATGAGGAACCTATCCACAGATCAAGAGGTTGTTGTTTGCACAGAACAAGGAGATACTGCATGGTTTAAAATCAGGAAAGGTGTACATCAGGATTGTATCATGTCAGCATACTTACTCAATCTGTATGCTCAGCAAATAATCCAAGAAGCTGGATTGTATGAAGAAGAACATGGCATCAGGATTGGAGGAAGACACAGAACAACCTATGATATGCAGATGACACAACCTTGCTTGCTGAAAATGAAGATGACCTGAAGCACTTACTGGTGAAAATCAAAGACTTCAGCCTTCAGTATGAATTATACTTCAACATAAAGACAACAAAAATCCTCACAACTGGACCAATAAGCAACAGCATGATAAATGGAGGAAAGTTAGAAGTTGCCAAAGATTTCATTTTACTTGGATCCACAGTCAACACCCATGGAAGCTGTTGTTGTTGTTGTTGTTAAGTGCCGTCGAGTCGTTTCCGACTCATAGTGACCCCATGCACAGCAGAACGAAACACTGCCCGATCCCGTGCCAGCCCCACAATCCCTGCTATACTTGAGCCCCCATGGAAGCAGGAGTCAAGAAATCAAATGGTGTATTGCACTGCACAAATCTGCTGCCAAAGACCTCTTTAAAAAGTTAAAGAACAAAGATAGCACTTTGAAGACTAAGGTGTACATGACTCAAATCATGGTATTTTCAATAGCCATATATGCATGTGAAAGCTAGACAATGAATAAGGAAGACTGTAGAAGAATTGATGCATTTGAATTGTGGTGTTGGCAAAGAATAATACTGAAAATACCACGGACTGTGAAAAGAATGAACAAATTTGTCTTGGAAGAAGTATGGTCAGAATGCTCCTTAGAAGTGAGAATGGCCAGACTTAGTCCCTTGTATTTTTGTCATGCTGTCAGAAGGATATCATGCTTTGTAAAGGAGAGAGCCTCAATGAGGTGGATTGACACTGTCGTAGTTAAGGTTATGTGTCAACTTAGCTGGGCCTGATTTTGAGTGGCTGGGCAGCTGAATGTAGTTATTCCCCATAGTGAAATTGGTAGTCAACTCCATGGTGGAATCTGCTGGAGCAGCTCAGTAGCTGCCTTAGGGATGTGGTCTGCTTCCAGTATGTAAGAAACGTTGAAAAAGGTCTCTGGCTTTTGGCACACTTGAATCCTGCGTGTAGCTGAGTCTTCATTTAACAGCCTGCCATGTTTCCTGCCGCCCTTGGGACTGTCTCTGAACTTTAATTAGTGGCCTGCCTTGTTTGGTAATATTGGGACTGTGCCATTTTTATTTGTTGACCTTAAGTTTGTCAGGCTCAGCAACCAGCGCCTGCCTGAGTGAAGAGACACCTCTAGCTCCAGTGGACCAGAAGCAAGAGGCAGAGCTGATGCCCAAGGTCGAGAGGCTTTCACCCAACCCTAGAGGTGGCACTTTGAACTTGAACTTCTAGGCTCCAAAATTTTAAGAGAATAAATTCCTGTTTATTAGAGCCACCTACCTGTGGTATTTCTGTTAGAGTGGCAGGAAGTAACCAAAACAGACTCAGTGGCTGCAAAGATGGGCTCAAGCAAGCATAGCAACAATTGTGAGGATGGTGTAGGACTGGACAGTGTTTCATTCTGTTGTACATGGGGTTGCTATGAGTCAGAAGCAGCTTGATGGCACCAGACAGCAACAACAGGATGAACACTGTATTGTAATTGCTGGGATTACTTGCTCCTTGATACACTGTAGATGTCTGAGTTTGAAGAATGAATCTCAGCCCTAATAAAGCATCTGGGCTTAGAAGATGCTCAATAAATACATTCTGAATGAATGAAAGATTAATGAATGAATCCAATGGTTCTTCAAACTTTGTGCTAAGGAAATTAGTCAAACTAGAGCTTATGTGAAAGCAATAATATATACAACAGATAAATGCAATACTATGTGATAGGCTGAGAAACACTCCTTAACTTTACAGGCACTGTGCCCCAGCAGTTTGAAATCTGGGGATCTGACTCCCTCGTTTTCCTGCTTTGACGTCCACCTTGAGAAGCTCACAAAATAATGGACAGAACAGGACCCATAATAAAGTAGAGTGTGATAAAATGCTCAAATTATTTTCAATTTAGAGACCTCATCAGTTACATCAAATCCTGTGTTTAATCACCTCCTGTTCTCAGCTGCTACATCAAACAGCAACAGCAGCAAAAGTCTCAGCAGCTGTTCACAGACTGACTCCCGGTTTTTCAAGGACCACTCATAAAGCATGGTGGTTAAG